ATGTAATATGTATATCTCCGAATCCCTTATTTCTTATTATGGTAATACTGAACTTATACTACTTGTTTTATATTGCTTTTTTCGTATCTAACAAAATTATACTATTTTAAGCACTTTTTACCTTTGACACTTTTGGGGGAAACGCCTCTTTCACCCTGAAAATCGAGACAAATGCTAGAAATTGGCGATTTTAGGCGCTTGATAAACATTTTTTTACTTTAAGTAAATGGTATTTTTCCTATTATTTAGCTAGCCTATTTCAAACAATTTTTTCCTCTTCCACTTTTTTGGCAAACTCCTAACTTATTTCACCCCAAAAAAACGCAATTGAAAATCGAGTAAAGCTTATTGAGTTGTGTAAATTATATTGAGCTTATTGAGTTGATTAAGGATAGCTACAATAAGTGGATGGTTACAATATGATGATTGGATTATGGATGCTTGGATGGATGCATACAATGGGAATTGATGTTTTTATGCTCACTGATTGTCATATAAAAATAATGCCCAATTGTCAATAACACAATTATAAAACAGGAGACGAGCTGCATGGCACCAAATCAGTTTAATCCAAAATTGCTTACAATTTAGTCAAAAAAAAGGTTTCAGTCAGACTGTACTTAGACTAGACTGGGAGCTGGCGGGAATTTCGTAAATAAATATTAAATAATAAAATAAATAATTAGCAAGAAAAAGACCGAAAAGGGTGTGGATGACTGGATGAGGTTATTTGTGTACACGTTTTTCAATTAATTGCCTGTTTGAATTATATTATTTCAACTTTACATGCCGGAAATCATTGCTTAGAGTTCTTGTAGATTTAGTGTACTTCAAAACTTTGTACGGTAATTACAATATTGTTAAATTATTTTATGATAGGATTCAGTGAAAAGGGCTAGCTTAGTTGTTAGGCCTAAGTTAGTAGTTAACTATTCCTGGCAAGGTAGACAGTGCCGTAAAACCTTATTAAACTTAGGGTTGAACAATGCATATTCATTGCTAATTCTGTTAACATACCAGTTGGAGTCTTGCTATCAAACTTTGCCTAGCATTTTCAAAGTAGGACACTACTTGATGGTTGAATAGGCCTAGCCTAGGCTATGTGGCAGGAACGGTTCTAACATAGGATATAAAACAGTTTTAACATTATAGGTCTTATCATTGCATTGCAACACTGACACACAAGAGTGCATTGTTAAAGACATAGCCTAATAATACTAAAAAGAGCTGCTCTGCCTCTCAACAGCACTGTTAAGAAGTAAGATAAGTAAGGTTAAACAGTTTCTAACACAACATACCAAGCTTACAGTATAGGTTTTCTGCGTACAGAAACTTATTACAATAGCTAATGTTCAGCCTTGTTGCAGACAGCCATCTTCAAAGCAGTTTACGGTTCAACAGGATTTTTTGTTCTTGTCGGTTTCAGGTTGCTATCTACTAGGCCTAAAGTTGCTATGTTAACTTACCACCTTACCACTTACCACACAATAAGGTGTAGAGACTTTATTATTTTGCTTGTACTACTTCATTTGACTGTTTCTTCTTTAGCGGTAGGCTAGTGCGTAGATGTGTTACCCATATAAGAAAATGTTCTGAGGGTATTAATATTCTTTGGGATTTGAATCTGAGAAACGGCCTTGGACTGATGTTCATAATATGACTTAATGGTAAAAATAGTCATTTCCCTATTTTCCTGGAACCTACAGGTAAATGACGTTTGATTTTGGCGAAAATGTTCTTGTTCGGATATGTTTGGTTTGGATTTAGGAAGGTCTGGCTGCATGGCCTACTATAAGTTAGTCCTCGCCACCCTAAGTTGAGACAGCCAAAGGCCGCACTAGATATACGCCGTGCGGCCTTGCGCTGCCTCAACTTAGGGTGGCGAGGACTATAACTAATGCATTCACAAGCCGTTTTTGTTATAATCACAAAAAAAAATAATAACCACATTCTAGAGTCTATTGTTTTTCGGTAAGTTATGTAGGCTGCTGTTAAACTTCAAATGCTACCAAACTTGGTTATTTCCTGATTGGTATATTAAGTCATTACAGTTTACTATTTTTCACACATAAGTTAGTTTTTGGTTTTATGATTTACATTGTACCCATTCAATTTTGTATTAACTTCTGATGTTTGGGACCTGTAGACAAGGATGTAGGCTAGAGTATACCCTTGGCAAATGGTACTTGCGGAATTTTTTTGAAATTTTAGGTGCAAAATGGTAAGTTTTCCATGTTTTAGCAAGTTTTTTACAAATATCTCATAGATTTTTTTTAGGTAAGTTAGCATGCCGCGATATAATTTTGTTGTCAAAATAAAGGTACAACTGTTCTCTAGGGAAATGCATTTTGATTTTTTTTTAAACAAACTCTAATTTTCTGTGGAACAAATTGATAAACTTAGGTAACACTTTTTTGCTAAGTTTACAATTTTTTTACAAAAAATTTAAGTTTGTTTTCAAAAAAATAAAAAGGCATTTCCTTAGAGAACAGTCGTTACCTTTAATTAGTCAGCAAAATTATATTTTTAGAACCACCTGGGAACATGTTTAGCGGTCACAAGTTTAACATTAGTCTTATGGTACTATCTTCAAGGTCCCAGCACTACTGAAGACGCTTAAGCCTAAAAAATTAATTTACTTACAAAAAATAGACATAGGCCTATAACAAAAAGTAGTTTGCAGCATCATCTTAAGCGTGATGTACCATACATATATTAGTATATACATAGTTTGAACCGGTACAACAGTGTTTAATAATTTTTTAACGGGTTCCCTTTTTAGCGAATTTCCCTATGGGGAAGTAGCTATTACCGTAGGTGGCACGGTAAGACCTAGACCCGGGACCGATTTACTTTTTCATTTTGATGTCCCCAGAGGCCAAAAACACCATTTTTATATATGTATATATATATAGACTTATATATATATACGTCCGTGAACGCGATAACTTGAGTAATTTTTGTCCGATTTTGATGAAATTTGGTTTAAAGGTGTAAAGCAGGATAAACTTGAATGAGTTCGCGAACCAGTACGATCGGACCATGGGAACAGGGCTTTACGGGGGGTTTTATGGGGTAGCTTAAAAATTGGTTTTTCTCACTTTTGACCCTCAAAACACAAAATTTCCCGATTTCTCTTTAGTCCTTTTTAAAGAGCTTAAAAAAAAACAAATAATTTAGTATATAAAAGTATTTTTGTTCGATTATTAGTAACGGAGAAAATTAAAAAAATTGTAAATTTAAAATTCCCATGTTATTCTTATGGAGAATATTGTCAAATGTTGTAGTTTGCTTGTTTATGGATATATTTGATCAAACTTGGCAAATTTATTTATTTTGTACTAAGCTATCAATATTTTACTCAAAAACACACTTTATTAGTTTCCTTGTAGCAGCAAACCTAGGTACTCGTTAAACCTAATGTTATTAAAATATATTTAACTGAAAATCAATTCAGACAAATGAAAATTCGCTTAGTCGGCAGGTTTGCTGCGGCGGGGGTATTTATACATAGTGCAGCAAAGAGGCCGACCTTAGAGCACACGATCTGTAGGCTATTGTCTATTAAAATCAATAACAACACAAAAATGACTAAAAACTTCATAAGCAATTTAATTTTAAAGGACATTTAAAAATCAGTGAAGTATATAAACAATAAAGCAGTCTGTGACCAGGTTATGGCGGGTTGGGCGCCTCGTGGTCATTACTACTACTCACTTTTGATCAGATAAAAGACAAAAGCGCTGCAGCCCTGAAAACTGTCGGCCGTCCCACCAAAAAATTTCCCGCCTTGCAGTTCACACTGAAGTAGGACGGCAGTTCACTGTACAACAAACAAATGCGGTCCGCTCTTTCCCATTCTCCCATAATTATATTATTCTACGTGACGAAGTATGGACGTAGAGACGCCAGAAAACATATTTATTCTTTTTTTCTTGTTGGGGCAAACCTGACTAGCCTAGCCTAATTCTACCCCATCGGGTACTGACTCTCCATGAGCCCAACTATCTTTGCAAGAGGCTTTCTGTTTGTTTGGGATTATGTAGAACACGTCATGGTGGGGGGCTTCACTTTCCAAGGGTCACCTTGAAATTGGGAAAGAAAAGTTTCTCTTATTTTGGACCCACATTGTACAACGGACTACCCAAGAGCCTAAAAACCATTGCATCCAGCAATACCTAAGATTAAGTTTAAAAAGTTCTCAAAATATATAAGTTTTTAGTTGTAAGTACAGTACCTAGTTACATTACAAAAGTTGTTCTGAAAAACTTATATGTATCAGAGAAACACTGGCTAATAAAGACATTTTATTTATTTATTTTAGTAATATAAGTTAAAAACATTAAAATGGCTGCCATTAAAGTTGAATCAAGACATGGGTCTCTTCTACCTTTACATACATACCAAGTTTCATAAAGTTCGGTTAAAAAAATTCAAAGATAAAAAGGCGGATATATCTGGTTAACGAAGTGATTTAGGAAAAACCTTTATTATTGATTTTCTCTTTATTTTGACCCAAGGAATCACTACGTAAATTATGTCCCCAACTTTTTCGAACACCTGTAGACTAATAATGATTGTTTAGTAGGTTTTTTATTCCAAGCACATTTACATGAACAAAAACAACTAATATTGGAATGGATGATATAAAAAGCTACAACAACTATTTAAAGGTCGATTTCTTTGCTCTATCAACATGTTTTTTTTTCATAATGACTTCTCATCAGACCATCTTCTTATCCAGATTTTCTTACAGAGTACTGCAATAACAATAATTAAAAGTATTTTTTACATTTTTATTAGATGACCAACACAAACCTACAAACTGGTAAAAATGACAGTATTTTCATTGAAACATAAAAAAGGGTACGTCCAGTAACATTCGCCATTTCATAAATTTAAAACTAAGGCCATAAATATTTACACTATCTATTCACTTTTAATTAAATTTTCACTATCTATTCAAACACTCACAAAAGTTAATTATTTAAATTTGTTAAAAAAAAAACTATTTAAATATCTAATATATTGAAAAAGAGTCTTTTAAACGTTTTTTTAAGCAGTCCACTTGAGGCACCGGGTATCTAGATGTGTGCCTAGACAGCGAGTACAGCAGTATCTGGCTCCACAAGGTATACAAGTGTAGTTGCTAGGGAATCCGCAGACCGCGCAGAAGTGTCGCTCGGGCAGTTGGGACGGCATGGCCTGCGCAGACATGTAGTTTGGTGGGTCAGGGTGGTAGGCTCGGTCCTCCTCCACTAGCTGCATTAGTGTCTTCCGGAACCTAAAGGCAATGATGTTAGATTTTGACACAAGAAATAAAATAATAATAAATGAAAATACTTCTTTCCGGCAAACTTAAGACCTCGTGGCCCTATCGTGTGGAATAGTATATCATGAACAACAATAATTTACACCCATGTGTAAGATAACTAATAACCTAAATTTTGTCACTAGGGCCTTAAGTAATTCTTTACAGCTCAAGCCAAGGCCCCACTAGAAAAAACAGGCCATGCTGCTGCACGGGCAGCACAACACTACGTCACAGTGGTGGATAGTTGTACTAAACTCTTACCATTAAAATCTTAAGATCCTGTATCCTGTAACAGCCAAGCCATATGTATTTACCTAAAACATATGGGAATGGTGATGGCAATGAATTTATCAATGAAATCTATCCACTAGTGTGACGTCATGGATCCTACCGCATGGCCTGTTTTTCTAGTGGGGCCTTGCTCTAGCTCAACTTAAACATGAAGTTGGAAAATGAGTGAAGGTCGAAAGACACTTTTTGCCTGAGTGATAAACTATATTTTTTGGTCACAATGCAATCTGCATTCTTCCACGAAAAGAAATAATAATTTCATATTTTATCACTGAAATTCATTCATATTTCATTCTGTCTAAAACAAAAAGTCAATAAAGGGGTTTATTTGTACTGACATATACAATTTAAAACAAGGATAAACCAAAACAAATGTTAATAATTATGATATATGTTTGATATTTGGGAATATTTTCTTTGGCGAATTTAGCGGACAAATTTATAGCTATTTTAGTTAAATGTGCATCTAATGTCCTCCTTGACTCTAGCTATGTTTTCCTTAGTAGGAAAATAGCTAGCCTACTTTACTTCCACTACCATAGCATCCTCTAATATTAGGCCTTAAATAAAGTTCAATTTGTTTTCCTAAAATACAGCCAAACGCCATAAAGTCACAGATTTTTTGCCTTAATTTTATGTCACTGCTTGTATACTTCGATTTACCTTTGCTTGTAATATTCAGCGCTTCTAGTCTTTTTCTTTCTTCCTCTTGATTCTAATGTTTCTTGGAATTTCGGTGCTTTCTTACTCATCACTAAAACATTAAATGTTGTGTTTTATTAATAATTTAAAATTTAATATAACAAAACTGGTAATATTTTCCATTATAAATTTGCAATGATAAATTCTAGTTTAGGTGGGGGTAGGTCTACTGGGATACAAATCCAAGACATTGCTGCCATGGTTTGACATAACGTCATGCCACTGACACATCAAACACTTAGCTTATTAAATTTAATAATCCTCAAGAAGTTTAGAAAAGCAGTATAAAAATTGGAATAATGGACATTAACTACTTTTATCCTGGTTAGGTTAAAGTGATAAAAACTACAATAACAATTCATAAAGCCGGCAGAATTAAATAGGCTAAATACAGTTATTTATATGTATATTTTTACATTTTCCTTTCACCACCTTTAGCTTTAAAAAACTATTTAGGAGGGCTAGATGTTCTATAGGGTATATTTTTGTTAGTACGAACATTCCCTTTGACTAATCCGGCAGTATTTCTTAGTTTTAAACCACAAAAGATACCTGAAAATTAATTAATAAATGATAAAGCAATTCAAACTATGTCAGCTGGGTAACAGGCTTCTATTTGCAAATATTTAGGCCGGGCTTATGCTGGGACGCACGCGGCGCAACGCAGCACACACCAAATGCTGTGTCACCATGTTTCCTTACGTCGCTGTGTAAGCTGAGACCCACGCGTGGGTCGGCATGTCACGGTTTGTAGTACAGACACAGATTTTTCGACACACACCTCGCAATAAAGTGGTAGATGGCAAGAAGGGAGCCTCTGATTGATTCTGTACCCGAATTATCTGTGATGTACGATATTAACGATGCGAAAAGACATGATCAAACTATCGGAACAAAGCTTTATAATTAAATAAATGTTTTCTTATTTTTGGCCCTACATAAAATTTTACAATTTTTCTTAAAATCATTTTAAATCTAAAAAACAGTAGTATACAAAAGCTGATATACTAGTAACCTTAATAATTACAGAGAAAATTAAGAAAAAAAATGAAGATTTAAAACTTTTAAAATATAAAGCCATTTAAATAGGGGAAATTTAAAATTCCCTTGAAGTATTTAATGTAGGGTAGTTGCTACCATCGACGATCTTGGTGACTGCGTAGTGCAAGTGTTGCATGTTCTGGGCCTCAACATGCGCTAATCAAAATGCTGCGTGGCTTGCGTGCATTGAGTTAGGTTACATTAAATTTACTTTCAACTACTAGGGCGATGTTTACTTATCTTAGAACAGACGTTTCTAAATAATTTGCTTATTTATTTTGAGAGGCTTACCAAGATCAGCATGAGGATCATCATGGTAGTTGTCTTGCTCAAGTGCCTCAAGAGCTTTCCGAGCTCGACGCCGTCGTGTTGCTTCGTCCAACACCCGTCGCTGGTTAGCATCCTTGATGCGTCCTGACACACGATCTCCTTTTGCTACCTGGCTAGTCATATTTACTTCTTATTTCTCGACCAATGGGAAGCTGATCTGGTCCATCAAGTCGTCCACCCTTGCTTGCAATACATCCAATATATCTGCAGAGATGAACAAGTGGGTTTCATCCAAATCCTGAATAATAAATTTTCTTCCGAGAGCAACTGTTTCGTCCAAATGCAGCAGAAATTGTTTCATAGCATGGTCACTGAAAAAACAAAGTAAAGAATCATATTAGCTTTGATTTTATGTACGATCAGGAATTTATGTAATGCGTAGAATTAAATGGATAGGAGGATAGTAAGCAGCTAATACTGCATATTATGCCTTAGTAGAGTCCCACATAAGATATGGTTTAGTGGTCTGGGGTGGAACCACAGAGCAGAACCGTAAGGTTGTAAAAGAATACTGCGACTTCAGAAAAAGCTGAACTCAGCTTTACAGAAAGCTGCAGGGAAGCTTATAAATCACTAAAATCATGACTGTGATATCACTATACATCCTTGCAGTGATTAACTATACTGAACAGAGTGAGCTTGCAAGAGGAAAAGATTCTCACTCTCACAACACTCGAAGAGCTACAGACTACCCTCTCCTAGCTCACCTTACAACTCAATACAGCAGGAAGCCTACCTACATGGGACAAAAGGTCTTCAATAGCCTGCCCAACCACTTGAAGATCTTAAGAAATCAAGACCTGAAGAGGAAACTCAAAGACTTGTTAATGGATCAACCATTCTACTCACTAAGGCTGGGGCCACACGGGCATTTTTTCATACACAAACGCAGCGTGAAAATACGCGAAAAATATGAGCAGCGTTAAATGAAATGGGGAGTGCCTGCAGTAGCGGACGCCTATTCGTTTCAATGTTACTCTAATTTCTCGCGTGTTTTCACGCTGCGTTTGTGCGTGGAAAAACTCCGGTGTGGCCACACAGCCTAAAGGAATTCTTTGATAAATATTGTTAAGCAAGATGAAAATTCAAATTACAATCCATGTATATTCTTAAAGAAATCTCAATAAATAAAATTGATTGATCGATTGATTGATAAATTAATAAATAAAATTGAGTATTTGCTTTGTTTCAGAAAATGTCAAAACGGAAAGGAGTCAGTGCTGAAGAGAAAAGGACACGCATGCTACAATTATTCTATGAGAAAAAAGAGTTTTTCCCTCTGAAGGTCAGACTTTGTCTAGCAGTAATAAAAATCGTTGCAGTAGACACTTTCAATCCCATCTTGATAACAAATTAATACAGGCCAGTCTGAATGAACTGAATATTTGATTTCTCAGACTAGCTTGTTAGCTTTGTATCATTTACGTTTCAATAAAATTTGGTTTGAAATAACCAATAATTCAGCCTAAATTAGTTTTGTTTATTTTTATCTTGCTAGATAAAGTTAAAAAAAAGGCTAAAAGTTAATGAACATTAGCCTATATCATATACCACAAGTGTTGTATCATTAAAAAGACAAACACCTATTGATTACCTATCTGATGAGATATGCCATAGCAGCCTCTAATTCAAGACCTAAGCGTGTGTGTGGCAATACCTAATGCCATGGTAATAAGAAACTTATAAAAATAAACATTATGCATTTGCTCCACTGTAAATTAAATTGGTGCAAAAGCTATTTTCGTTTGCCAGGACAGCGGTGTGCCATTTGTCTCGCAGCGGCCTAGTATCAGAGGAGTCGTTTAAGAATACCGCATCACAATATTCATGACATTCAAGAATATCTAGATCATTTTAAATAATTTAATTCTCTGTGAAGGAATGCAAAATCACATCAGTTGCAAATTTTTAAGTGTTTCCTAAGTTTGTACAGTACCAACTAAATTACCTATGTGCATTTTGATAAAAATAAATACTGTTCATGATAGGCCTAATAGAAATTTAGCTTTATTTTCCTATTGAACTGAAATAGTCAAGTAACATAATATTGAGTGTTGTAAAACACAAAAACATTGACCAACTCTAACTATACATGATTTAACAGCAGAATTAATTAAAGGTAAGTACACAGTAGTATCAAGAGATAGGATGCCCATGAAGCAGAGCAATGACAGATTCCGTTCTGAGAGAACATACGATCAAGCAGAGGGAGTCTACTTTGAGGGAGCAGCAAGAGTAAATTTATCTTTTCTTCTCATTTATCCAATAAAATATTTCCAGGAATTAGAAAAGATTGCTCCAAAAGAAAAAGGAATAATTGCCCAGTCCGTCAAAGATGTTGTTCAAAGTTTAGTTGACGATGGTTTGGTGGACACAGACAAAATCGGTACTTCAATATATTTCTGGTCATTCCCAAGGTAAAATAATAGATTATACTGTAGGCCTTACAGATGTTTCTCATGTTTGTGGGTGGTTCAATCAGAGTTGCCACCCGTCCCGATTCTGTCAGGACAGTCCCGATTTTGGTTACTTATGTTATGCCCGTATTTAAGCCTATGTTAACCCGGGGGGGGGGGGAGGATGCCATGTCCTGATTTTCCCCTAACCTAGTATGGCAACCCTGGGTTCAATATTATGCTCCTAATAGTTGAAAAGTCAAACCTATTTATTTTGACCTGTTCTCACTATTTTTCCACCGTAGTGTTAAATAAATGACAATTAAGAGTAGGGGCCTAAACTATATATTTTTGGCTGTGGGAGCCGTATTTCACTGCAATTAATTAAAATATTTAAACTGTTGAATTCATTTTCAAGTTATTAAGTTATAACGTTATTAAGTTATAAGTTATAAGTTAATTAATAATTAATTAATCATTAATAAATAATAATTAATTAATAATTAATTAAGTTTAAGTTATTAAGTTACTTTAAGCTATAAAAGCTTAAAAAGCATAAGTGGATAAAACGTAATACAACATTGCAGTAAGATGTCTAGTAGAAAATCACAAAAATCATTGTTCAGGGTTCTACAAAACTTCAAAGAAATAAGCTTTACATACAATATATAATTTAAAGATATTTCCATTAATATAAAGGCTACTTACAGTCTTCGCTATCCTGATTAATTAAGCACTATGGCTGTTTCAGAGATAACTCCATCGTTCATCATCATACACTAAACTGAGTCACTATTTACATATTTACATTTTTTACGTGGGTTCTTCATTAATCATTTCCATTGCGTCAAATATAAAATACATACAACACACGACACAGACACGAAATGAAAACATGAAGTCAGCACGTGCACGGCTAAAAACTGACGACCGACTATGGAGTTATCTCCGAAACAGCCGTAGTGCTTAATTAATTAATTAGGATTTTCAAAGACTGTAATTAGCCTTACTAGCAGAGTACCCGTCCTTCGTACGGGGTCGCCGTATAAGTATAAAATGCTTATTGTAGTCATACTCGTGTTTTGTGTTTGCAATGGGGGAGGATGAGAAAATTTGTTTCACTGTATGCTATTGTATAACACATCTACCACAGCCATAATAATGTTCTACCACTGCACCTAATTAACAGGAAAATTTAAATTACCAAATATTCAAACAATATCACAAATTATTTATAAATCAAAAACATAAGCATAACTGGAAACAATCCTATTATGTCAGTTCCCATTGTTTATCACAGCCTTTTGTTGCTGCTTGGCTCAAATTAGCTGTTGTCATAAATGAATGAAAATAATAGTTCTGCACCCTATTGGTAAACCCTATAACTTTTTAATGCTAATGAATATCATAGAACCAACTTGTGTAGTTGAACTGGCCTTACATTTTTTTTAAAGTCCCTTGGGCCACTTCACTTGTCCGTATTAGCTGAATCCGACCGGTAGTTAATGTGTGATTGAACTTAAAACAAACACACAAACTTTCACATTTCTAATATTAGTATGATTAAACCCAATCTGCCACACTGAATATTCACGTTCCATTAAGGTTAACAAAAAGTATGCTTTTTAATTTTTAAGTTTAAGAATAGTTATCAAATTTGTGAAACAAGGAAAGTTTTTTTAAAAGGTTTTCCTGACATTCTCTGACTATAGCAGAACTTTTTATTTTATATATATTTTTTTAGAGTAGTTTACCTAGCACTAAACCTTACTAAATGCTATTTACTTGTAACTATCGAGCATGTTGTAGCAAAGCTAAACACACAAGAAAAAGGAAACTGGCTGATGCATCTGAGAAGCTAGAAGGAGCTGTGAAGCGACTTAAAGTCGCAAAAGACAGTATAATAGATGCCAAGGTATGTTGACTTGTTTGCAAGTACTCTATTTAATACCCTCACGTTATTTCCCATTATACACAGCTAACTAGAATGTCCATTGGTCATTTCACGTTTAACATTCTCAAATTCAGCTAGTGTAGGCTATTGAATTTTGTCCGGGTTCAAATCCTACATATTACCAACGGCCTTTAAATTATCTGATCACACTTTGGAGCCACCCTTAAGCTCATTCACCTTTCTGAAAAATGTCTCTCAGGTTGGGAGAACAAACCTTTTATTTTTCTTGGCGCCAAAAGACAAGTGTCGTCCCCGTCCCCTGGGCTTAAGGGGTGCGAGTGGCACAGGTCAGTAAGGCACCAACATTCGATTGTGTCAGATGTCATTTTCAAGTATTTCAATTCCATTCATCATTTTTCACATATCACAATCAAGTTTACATTAGAAGTTTCAAGTTACACATTTTCATTTATTCATTATCATGTATACAGTATTATTATCATCATACTTCAATAAACAGTGTTTTGCAGTCTGTGCATTTTGTGCAGTCTTATATCTCAGCTCCAGAAACCAATTGCATTACGTAACATTCATTACATAAGTCATTACATTCAGTGCGTATGCGTAACATTTTTTAGAACCCCCTACTCAGTAAATGTAATTTGAATAGCCCTCGATTATAGTAATTTTATTTGAGCAAACAAACTTAAAATAAAAGTTTGGTTTTTCTGTAAAACAACTTCATTAGGGCATTGAAATACTTCTTTTATTTAGTTTATTGTATACTCAAGGTTGGACGAGAAGACACAAGTGCCAGGCAGGAGTTGATTAAAAAGATTGAACTATTGAAAGGAGAAGAGAACAAGCTGATTTTAGAAATACAAAAGTATAAAGACTCCGATCCAGAGGTGTTGGAGCAGATGAAAACTGACATCAAGGTAGGCAAAACCTTTTCCAGTTAGTTTTAAGCGAACTTCCCTATAGGGAAATAGCTATTACCGTAGGTGGCACGGTAGACCCG